ATCTAAGGAGTACTGACAGACAAAAAGCAGTTGCAATAAAAGCTAATTGTCTGTTAGCTCCAGGTATATTTTTATTGAGTGTTTCAATCCTAGCCTAAAAGCGTATATTAGGAAAAGGCTCTGCTATCTTCACAGATCAAGCAGCAACTGGGGCAGGATGCAATCTCATTTCTCCACATACTTTCTTTCCCAGCCCATCCCTTCTTCAGCTGTCTGCCTCCATTTTGAGGACATTCTAAAACCTTTGTGTAGGTCCCATTGAAGCTCTTCTCAGTAGTCAACACCCTGCAGTAACAAGGTGATTTCCTGATATCCCCACTTATATCTAAAGAAGTATAGGTTTAAGGAGGTCACTGTATTTCATATGTAGAAAGAAGGGGCAGCTCATCTTCACTTGAGTTTGATTTTTTAAGTGACAGAAAACACATTTTTCACAAGGTCAGTAGCAAAATTAAGGCTTTCATTAATTATTTGATATGCTTTGTGTATGGCACACATTAGACATTTGCTTGGTAGGCAGAGGACCTGCAGATTTTCTGATATGCTCTAGTGTCTGATTTAGTTTGATGCAGCCTTTCTGCCTGGTCTCCAAGAAATTGGCTTTTTTAAGATGAGATTCCCCAAGTCATCTCCTATCGTCTGGGACTCCAGCCCAGGAGCTCTGTGTTTCTCTTGTTGGAGCCCTCTCAGGGTTTCCAATAATTTTTTTATTCAATCAAAACCAAAGCCACTGGCTTCAATGATTTTAAGCTTCAACCCCTACCTTGACATAACAAGGCTTTATTTTTTCTTCTGGTATATTTATATTGATTATTAATAATAAATACATTATTTGTTTTTGTCCTCCAGTAATGGATCATGAGCAGCAAGACTGCAGAGATGAAAGAAAAAGTTATTTCCTATTTCAAGTAATTTTATGAATCAGCTAACCGTTAGTAAACCAAAGATGGAAAATCTGACTCTTTGTCATAACCCACATTGATCAGCACTGTTGTGACCATACAGTATTTAGCTATTTTTATCTAACACCTGGCAGCAACTTGTGTATCACTACTGAAATCATCAATTGAACTATTAAGAAGGAAGAGACGTTTAATAACCCCCGCAGTTCTCATTGCAGCAGGGCTAAGTCTAACAGTGATGTTCTTACCATCAGGGCTGAATTTCAGTGGTTTTTATTACATTGGCCTTGTTTCATTAGAATTCAGCATTTTTCAGGATTCTTACAAAACATATACTTTGTACTTTGCAAACTCTGTTGGCTGTCGTGGGTGGACTTGTGTGGCCAGAAGACCAAGTGACAGTGTTCACAGAAGACAGGGAAAAGTCAATTTAACTTTAAAATCTAAGCACTTACCAAGGCTAAAGAGGAAATAATGGAGGCAGGCTCTTCTGCCTAGTATGACAGTGAGATCTGAAAGCAGAATAAGATACAGAGGAAAAACAGGATAAGCAGCTGGAGTGAAATGCGATGTTTGTTAGGCAGGAAATCAATAACCTTTGACGGGCAAGTCTTATATAAACCTTTATTCTGGGCCTGCTATGTTTGGAAATTACAACAAAAGAAACAAAAGCTAGTTACTTGGAAAAATCCAACCTCAGGTTGTTTACTAAGCTGAAGGAGTGCCTGGAATCGCTCTTTTGCGGAGGAAAAACAAGTGAAAAGGATTTTGCTGGTGAAGGCTGAATATATACTCCTCTGGGAAGAGAAAACACATGGATTTGATCACACCTCTTTCTCTTACTTCCAGATATCTGTGCTTGCCTAAAAAACTGCACTCTCTCTGGGATAGCTCAGAAAACCAACATGGTCATTAACTTTTCCAAAGATAGCAGTGGGGAAACAGCAGCTGAGGCAATGCAGTGACTCAGTATGTGACCCTTTGGAGTCCCTGGTGCATCTTAGAAGGTCATTTCAGGAGATGCATTCTGGTGGGACCAGTGGAAAGTGGACCCTAGGGAGCAGCTGGACTGTAGGATGATGTTTTTTAACCTGAGTGCTCAGATTGCAGCACTGCCAATCCCAGATGTTCACAAATCACGAGGAAAGTCTGAGAAAGGCCTGAGATTGGGTAAAAACTTAAAACTGAGATTTTAAAAAGAAAATAAGTTTAGGGTGTGGTTTATTGCCTTCAGGTTTCTTAGCCTTTAGGGTGCACTTGAGTCATGTTTTTAAGTTTCTCTTTGCTACCAATGAGGTCTAGGAAACTTACTTAAAACCATAAGCCAAGATTCTCACCTAATCATTTGACTGTGGGAGCTGAAAAATACAAAATTATGAGAGGTGCAGCACTGACTGGTGGGGCCAGGCATATGGCAAGTAGTTGGGAAAGGCCTCTTGGAGAGGGAGGGGAGGCAGCCTGGGAATGGGGTGCAGCAAAGAGGCCCGTGAAGTCAGTGGGGAGAGGTTGTTGAGAGGCAGGTAGGAGAAGAGGATTGGCACTTGAAGAAAGTGAAGTTGGACATATCAGGAGATGGGAAAACATTTCCTACAGTTATCTCCATCAGTTAACCCCTACAGGTCCCTGGTGCAACAAAATGAACTGTTTATCAGGTAAATTTGCTTTCCCACAGAGACTGAGATTATTTCATTGATTTAAAGAGAGAACATGTCAACATAAGTATGTCAGTAGGTCAAGGAAAGTGATCCTGCCCCTCTACTTAGCCCTTGTGAGGCTGCATCTGGAGTGCTGTGTCTGTTATGGGCTCCTCAGTACAAGAGATACATGGAACCCCTGGAGTGGGTCCAGCAGAGGGCTAAAAATTTGATTAAGGAACTGGGGCATCTCTCTTCTGAGGAAAGGCTGAGGAAGTTTGGCCCATTCAGTCTCAAGAAGAGATGACTGAGAGGGGACCTCATTGATGTTTATAAGTATCTGAAGGGAAGGTACCAAGAGGATGAAACTAGGCTCTTCTCAGTGCTGCCAAGCAGTAGGACAAGAGGCAATGAGCAGAAAGTTCCACCTGGATAAGAGGAAGAACTTCTTTACTGTGTGGGTGATCACACTCTGGAACAGATTGCCCACAGAGGTTGTGGAATCTCCCTCAGTGGAGATACTCAAGAACCTTCTGGAGACAGTTCTGTACAATGTGCTCTAGGCTGACCCTACTTAAGCCAGATGACCCACAGTGGTCCCTTTCAACCTTACGCATTGTGGGATTCTGTGGTTCTGTAATTGTTACTCAGAGAAATGTATGCTTGGTCTGAGCAGGGTGATCTGAGGATGATGAGTGGCAAGTCCAGATTAAAACTAACTGATAAAAAGATGACCTATGGCAGCCCTAACTTAGCTTTTCAGCATAGTAATAGAGTAAAAATCTTTAAAGCCTGCAGAAAGCCAAAGAGCAACTGGACTGAAAAGATGAAACAGTCTTAAAGCCATGAACATTTACATTTCTCAGTTTCCGTCTTTAAAATATCAAGTTGAGACAGGAGTGGATGAGAGTGTTGAGAGCTGTGAAAGGTCTTAGCTTTGAATTAGCCTCACTTTAGCTGTGAGGTGCTTCCAAATGCAGTGCAGAAGTGTAGACAGGACTGCCTCGCAGTTCAAGCACAGGGTGAAGATGTAGAAATTGCAGTCATCCTGTCAACTCAGCCACCAACGGCAGGATGAATGTACTCAGTGTGATCGATTTTAAAGGTGAATGTAGGGAGCTATGTATGCAGACCTTAATAACTCCTCCATGTCCTTTACTGTGAAGCAAGAAAGTGGCACAAAACACTCTATGATGTGTTTTACTCACAGTTCAGCAACACCACCCATCAGAAAACCCTCAGCTGAATGCAGAAATTGCATTTGCATTTCTACATGCTCTGTGGACTCTTTGCCCAACCCAGCATTAGGCATTTAACCTAAAGGACTGGTCCCTGTCAGACAGAAAAACTAAATTCTTGCAAGTGGTGAATGAGATCACAGCCTTCTGTGTCCTCTTGCAATGCTGGTGGCACAGGGGCTCTAGCTGGACACTGAGCTGCACGCATCTGTGTGTGCAAATACTCTTTTTCTCTGTCCAGAAGCATCCTTGGATGTCTCACAGTATTCAAGGATGGAAGTTCTGTTCTGTCTTAGACATTAGAAAAAAATTTCTCAAAAAAAAAAAAAAAAAAAAAAAAAAAAAAAAAAAAAAAAAAAAAAAAAAAAAAAAAAAAAAAAAAAAAAAAGAAAAAGGAAAAAAAGTTGGCTCTGTTTTCTTTTCCCCACACAGATACATACTCCATTGGATGATTTTTTTATTATGCTTACTGCTGTACTGAGCAAACTCCTTGCTGCACTGAGAGTTAGTTGGTGTTTTGGGTTGACTAGCTCATACTTAACCATGTCTTCAAAGACTCTGCAGTGATGCTGCATACTGAAAAAACCTGTGCAGATTAGGCACTTTTGAAAATCCCATTTGAAGGATCAGTTCAATACATTTTGTTAAGAAACTTGAACTAAAATAGAACCATGAAATCAAAGCATAGCTAGCATTAATATTCCACGAAAGTAAAAGTGCAGCATTACAGACATCAAATCAAAATCAAGTCAACAAATTGACTGCGGCACTGGATCAAAATGAAACCAAATTGCCAACTTGATGAAAACCCACAGTGTTTATGAACTCTGAGGATCTATGAAAGCACGTCTGCTTAGCTAGAAATTTCAAAAGCACATTTTTCCTGAGCCAGACAGAAATGTAGCACTGAGCTGGGTTATTCAGTGGTGAAACCCCCATTTCAGAGCCAGTTATCTGGCTTCCTTCTTTGGATCCTCTTCCTCAGTAATGAGTTAATCCTAATCCCACCTCCTGAGTGCCATCATATGTAGCACAGTCTCAGAAAAGGACACTCCTGATAAGCAGAAGCTTTTCAGAAGTTATTTACCAGAAATTGCAGATGACAATTTTAGGTCTTTAGGATCAAACAGAGGCCCCAGAAAATATATTAAAGAGCAATTTTATGCAATGTTATATATAACTTCTAAGCCTCAGGAACTTTACTTCCCTCCTCTTCTCTTTTTCAGAGAGATTTGTGCACATCTGGAAATATAAAGCTACATTTAAACACTAGGAAACTGAAGAGTACAAAAAGACCTGGGTGTCTACTACCTAAAAAAAGAAGGAAAGAAAAATAGATGACCAAGACAAAGGAATGTAACTGCTTAACTCTCTTAGTCCTTCAAACTTGCAGAAGAGAGGTAAGGACTAAATCTGAGGAGTGAAATGGCAGAGGTCACAACTCTCTTTGAGATTAAGGCTTTCCTGTTTTTGGGAAAGACTCGTGGAATACTGCTGCTGCTGGTTGGTGCCATAATTCCAAATAGAAAGAGTTGTGGAATGCTGATACTGCTGGTTGGTGCCATAATTCCAAATAGCTAGAGATTTTAGAGGGTCTGAAATTTCAGTACTTTTCCAGCAATACAGGTTGCTATCCTGAAGTCAAAGCCCATTTGAATTTTCAGTGCTTTCCTTCAAGGATGAGCCTTGAAATCTGGTACAGCAGGGCTCAAATGCACTCTTACACAGCAACTGTAATTTAAAAAAAAAAGCTGTTTAAGTCACAAGAATATTGCACCTTAATAGACTCAAATGCATCATTCAGATGAATATATAACACTGAGTAGTGGGAGCACATCATACTGCTTTGGAGGGAACTGCCGTTATTTTTGGTGAGGCAGAGGTCCCAAGATGTCACCATGCCATTATTCTATGGAGTGTTCAACATTTAAAAGAGTTTTTTTTAAAGGAGTTGTTTGGGAAAAATAAACTCCAGAACAACTTGGCAACAAATGGGTGTCAAGACTGTCAGCAAAATAAAGAAATAAAAATGTACTATGTGTCTCATCAACTCAGCTGCATTTCAAAAGTTCTTCCTTTCTGTTTTGGAAATGAACTATAAGTCAGCTTCTCAGCAGGAATCTTTGTCTTCATATGCTTTATACAACAATATGTATCATTATAAAATTTACTCTCAAATCTTACATATTATACACAGTCTACATATAAGCTATTTTTTTCCAAACTGTATTTTAATCCTGTATTTTCATACTACCATTTTTGGAATAGTTCTCATTGTTGATCCTCTTGATTTTGATTGCCAGAGTCACTGTTACACTTTAAAACGCCGAAGGAACCAACGCATGACCTAAAGGGCAGTACAGTTCCTGCCTGAAAGCTGGTGATTTGACATCATGTGTGCCCAATTTTGAAATATAAAATTTTGTTGGGTTTTGGGTGGGTTTTTTTACTATATTTTTCCTATTGTTTGGTATGGTAGACCACATTGTGTCAACACTGTGGAAAAAATTGTGCAACTCCAGTTCTTACCGTTCCTTTAGCTAGCATGCATGCACACAGACTTTCTTCTCCCCTTGGAACAAGATACTACACCCTAGACTCATGGTTTTTGTCTGTGTAACTGGGGTGGCAATACATATTTTATCACATAAGAACTACTGCTTTAATATTTGAGATATAAGATGTTGAATATTTCCCATTTTATTATGGACAAAATTATTGTTTATTTTTTAAGTTTTTTTTTTCCAGTGGACATATAAATGTGTATATATACACATATATAAATATGCACACACACACAAACACATATATATATATATAGTTTTTTTCAGAACTGTGCAGATCAACGGAGAGAGGGTGACTGGAGAACAGTAAGGAGAATTTATGCCTAAACAAGAGTAGCTGAAGGAAAAAATCAGTAAAAAATGGGTCAGTAATTTTCATTCTGACAAAGTTCCTTCAGAGTTAGGAAAGTGTGAGGTTTACTTTATTATCTAATGTTTTAAGTGAAATCTCAGGATTAAAGTCAGCCTGTAAAAGAGAAGCCTGCCTTTATGAATCTTTAATTATGATAAATTTTATCAACCTTTTCACTTCAACATTGAAACTCTTAGAAGGAGTTTAGAATTGAATTTAATTTAGAATGTACTGGAATGTGAAGAAATCTTGAATATAAAATCATCTCCAAATCAGAAATCCCACAATCTGGAATTGTTTTGAGGGCAAAAGGACAAAAATCTGAGATTTTTGAAAGTCTAGGAGTGCCTCCAACTCCAGAAATCCATTTTTTTATTTTATTAAAACTTGAAAAATAGAGTTGATCTCTTGCTGTGTAGACATCAGCTGAAAAAAACCCCAAAAACTAAATCACAAAACTGTGCCCAGATTGAGTCTGCATTTTAAAAACATGATGTTTTTATTTATCCTGCACAAACTTTTACATAGGAAATTGCAGTTGTGTATAAAATACTAGTTCAAAATCAGTTTTCCATAAGGGAATGTACCTAAGCATAAATACAGAGGTGTAAGTTAAGCTGGAACTTTCAGGTTAGCTTTTTTGGACTGAATTCCCTCTACGGCAGAGAGGCAGCTAAAATTAATTATAAAGTGACTGGGTAAAAGCTCTTTTCCCAGTCTGTGATCCCAGCTATCACAAACTAAAAAAATGTGTTCATATTCATAAGCCATCAGAGCCTTTGCCTAAAACTGCAATTATGTTAACATATTTTAATAAATACATAATCACTCTAATAGGTACCTCTAATGAATGCAAAGGTTAATTCCAGTGCTTTCTTCCTTACTTTTTGCTTCAGAAAATATTTCCTTTCATTTTAATAGCAGAATTCAGCAGATATTTACATCGGGTAATGCTAGTGACAAATTCCACATTGGCTGCAGTGAGGACCGGGACCAATTTTTGTTATGTTTAAGACTTGTCTTTTTATCCCATTCACTTTAAGGAACAGAGATGAGCTTTCTTTTTGATGAGAGAGTTGTGAGCCTCTCCCAGAATGAAACCTCGGGTCTGGATGTCTCCTGCCTCCTTGTATCCCCAGCTGTGTAGCTGTCGCTCACCTCCTGTTTCTGATCAGAAAAACAATGCTTGCAGTAGTTATTCTGGTTTTAAAATATTTCCTTAAGAGACTTCTATACTACAGATTCACAAACATTTCTTTAGTTTGGAAAAGGGATGTCAATCAGCAGCACTGCCACTTTATGAACTGCTCCTATTTCCAAAATCACCTCTATTGTTACAGTCTGACAAACTACCAAAAGAGTTCAAAAATTGCCAGCTGCAGGGGCTAATTCAGCTCCTTTCTGAGGTGTTTCGTTCTTTCCTCCTGCCATTATCACTGTCCTATTTTTTTCCCTGGTGGTTGTTAAATCACTAACTAATTATGTATTATCAAAGCTGCACGTAACAGTGGAGTTTGTCTCCTGGTTGATGTATATAAAAACAAGCTGAGTGAGTGAGTCAGTCAGGGTACAGACGGCTGTACCGCTCCACCTGGTGCCTGTGTTAGCACTTATTCATGCCTTCCCTTTGTTCTTCTGGGCTCCTTTTACTTTTTACTGCACAGCTAGATAGGTACTGACTGCTGCATTATGTGTGCTTTAATGTTTTTTTTATTATTACTATGGGAGAACAAAAACGTTCATAAAAGGTGTGTTTTCTTTCTGGGAAAATTTCTCGGTGATGCAGTTGCTTCTCTGTTGGGGAACTTGAACCTTAAAAAAACGTGACAAAGATTACTAGATGCCCACTTAGTTTCTCTGGTAGTTACTCAGGCAGTTAGTTGGAAGAAATGAAAAATCCCTGAGCCATCTTCCATGCTGATATGAGTTCAACAGTGTGCAAATATCAACGTAGAAATTTACATGCTTATCCCTTGAGAAGTCTGTGCACATATGGTATTCTTTTTCAAATTATTTAATTAAAGCTCAAAAAACATGTGAAATCTGGAATGCTCACTTCCAAAAACACCTACCACATTAAATCAAACTCCCCAGGTTGACACATGGAGGCGTTTTCTAAAATGTAATTTAATTTTCATTTCTGTATTCTTCACCCTCCTCCCTCCCCAATTCCCTCATCTTAAGGAACAGTGAGAGACCTACATTCTCTTTGGCAGTTTACTCAGTTGCACAAATAAACCTGTGCACAGATGAACCCATGCAATACTGAAATGTGGAGGTTGCTACCTTACATGTTAACTCTTCTTTTTTTTTTTTTTTTTTTTTAATAGAGAGAGGTATAAGTAAGGGTTTTTATTGTCTGCAGAGTCTTGTTCATGTTGATCAGCAGAAATTCTAAACTTTCACATCTCAAATGTGACCCAACAGCATTCCTTCTTCTATATTTGTTTAATACTTGGCAGCTGGGGAAATACACAGCAAGGAAAGACAGAGATTACCCACTTTGAGGAAGGAGGTTGGGAATTACCTACTATATTCAGCTGCCACTACTTGGAAAGAGATACTATGCTTGCCAAAGCACACTACCTATAATTATTAAGCCTGTCAGTTTGATTTCTGATCTGAACAAATTGGAAAAAGAGGACAAATTCAAAGAAAAAGCTCCAACCCTTGCTAAAGAGATCATAACTATTTTTCAGACACTCTTTCATTTGGCAAGATGCCTACCTTGGACGTGAGCACATGGGGTACAAATTTGGATTTTTGCTGGACTGTTCCCAAAGGAGCCTGTGGAGCCATTGCTGGCTATGAAGACCCACAGCCTTCTGCGAGAAGGTTTTTCAACCAGAGCCCTTCTCTCTGGATCATGGAGATGGGCTGGCAGGTTGCCACACTCTATGGTGTGCTTTACCTGGTGGACTACTTTTATAATAACCAAACCAGTTCACAAAGAAAGGGGTTCAACTTCTTCCATTTCACACGTGGATTCAGTAACTTCTGCTTTTTGCTGCCTTTCATACATGTTTAGAGAGGATCAATATTTTTCAGCTCCAGCATTAATCGCTTGGTGTTTTTTAATAGAGAAAACATGGCAATGTGTAGTCACGTCTGCTCCCTTGCCAAAGCCGCTCTGAATGTTCATATGGACATACCCAGCCTGTCTTGAAACAGCCCACAGCCAAGGCCTTGCCAAGCATTTGACTTCCCAGGCAGTTGCAGAACTTGCTGCCATGGCTGCCTTCCTGGCAGTGATGGAAACAGGTACCTGAAAACTGCCTCCTTTATGGTACACGTAAACTTTTGTCATGAGCAGTAACAAAAGCTCTAACTACATACTAGAGTTATACCCATAAATACCAGAAAATGCAAATTATTGAAAACTCCCATTTCCACAGCATACTTCCTTTGCCCCGCCTTGCTTCCCTCCCAAAGTGTCCCTCTGGAAAACATACAGCTAATTGTAGCTTGTCAAATTACCGGGGAACTTCAAATAGCTTAGGCAATTAGAAGAAGTTTCGTTTTGATTACTTCTTGTGCAAGTTTTGTACAGAAATGATGCTCTGAAGACTCATTTTAGGGAGAACACTATTATATTGATGTAGGTGGCAATTTCTTTCTGATACATAACTTCTGATTTCAGTGAGGACAGGACCGTGACTGCCTCTTCCAGCAGTGAAAGCTGATGCCTCTTAAAATGTGGGACCCTTAAAACAGGAATGTGAGAACCAAATGATTGATCACCTTCAGTGATAGACAGTGCTGATTGTGGAAGTGAAGCATTATAATCTGTAAACAGAGAGTTCTGCTGCTCCTTCCTGAGTCTGTGTGCCGTAGCTGGATGGACCCATTTGGTTGGGGGACCCAGCACGGAAAAATGCTGAAACTGAAAAACATCTGAAAGTGACAGCCCAGGGAAAAATAGGCTTGAACTTGCATGGATAGTCCTTGGATTATTTTCATGTGAATGGCAGAATGAAATAATCTGTGATTGTAGATAATGCATGAAGCAATTACCAGAAATATGGTATTTTGGCCCAAGGAAATTCATGTTCAGGCAATAATTTCAAATGTTTTAAATTCTACACTTTCGTAGTAGGTGACACAACATCCTTTTTTGGTACTGGTTATATCACTAAGTCTGTCCTTGCATGCCCTTCCTTGTTAGCTATTCAAGCATTAAAAAGATTTATTAACCTTGTCTTAGTTTCAGTAGCCTCTTTTTTCTACTTTTTTAGTTTGCAGTATTTGACATGCAAAATGTTATGCTTTTTTAAACCTAGTGCTCCAAGTAGTAAACTATGGCATTGCAGAATAAATAGGTGACTTTAGCTCTGCTCACTTGGACCTGGGAAAGGCTGTACAGTTACAGAAATCCCAGCATTTACATTCCTTGTCAGCCTAATCCAGCTAGTAACAGTGAAGATGATAATATTAAATGTTCCAGGGGTATAAGCAAGATATTTCAAGATGAACAGTACAGGACTAAGTATAATGTATTAATTTTTTATTATTAATAAATTTTAAACCTATCCAGTGACTTTGTGAAAATTTGACAGTCTAAATCAATAAATTTACTTTCATCAAGTCTTGAAAGAGGTGCACAGGGCTAGTATATCTCCTTTCCTTTATTGTATGGAAAAAGGATGTATTGAATTACTTTCTCTCAAAGTCCTTTATATACCTACTGCATATCATCTCTTATTCATTTTTCTCTTTAAATCTTTACAGTATGTTTTCTTATGGATAGTCTTCCAGTTTCTTTATCCTTTCAAAGTATATTTTCAGAATCCTTCCAGTATCTACTTTTTTTTTTTTTTTTTTTTTTTTTTTTTTTTTTTTTTTTTTTTTTTTTTTTTTTTTTTTTTTTTTTTTTTTTTTTTTTTTTTTTTTTTTTTTTTTTTTTTTTTTTTTTTTTTTTTTTTTTTTTAAATAACATAAGAAATACAGCATTCCATATACAAGACTGGAATGAAATAGAATAAAAGTGTCAGGTTTTTTGCTCATTCTCTCTGCTCTCTGCATTTTGCATCCTTTCATAGCTTCTGGGTTACACAGGTGACTCCCGGATCTTTTTTTTTCTCAATACTGCTACTTAATTTATGTGCATAA